TATATCCACAAAGCCTCCTATGAGGCTCCCTCCACTGAAGCCTGTACCCCACTGTGAGCTTGGTAGAAAATGATGAAGAAGCTTGGTGTGCTCATACTCTGGGAGTCTCTCTTATTTGAGAATGGACTGCATTCCTCCAAGGAGCAGATGGTGTCCTAGTTAGTTTTAGCTGTCAACCTGACACAGCCTAGAATAACCTGAGAAAGGAGTCTCAATTGAGGGATTTCTCAGATCAGACTTGTTTGTGGGCATGTCTATGTCTGCAGGGGATTGCTTTGATTGTTAACCCAGCCCAATGTAGGCAGCACCATTCCCTAGGCAGGTGGTCCTGGGCCATATAAGAAAGCTAGCTAAGTATGAGCCTGAGAGCAAGCCAGCAAGTAGAGTTCTTCCATGGCTTCTGCCTTCATGTTCCTGCTTGAACTCCCGCCTTGACTTACTTCAATGTTGGACTATGACATAGAAGTATAAATCTAATAAACCCTTTCTTCTCCCAAGTTGCTTCTAGTCAGAGTATTTTATCATAGCAACAGAAATCAAACTAGAACAGATAGTGTATAGCACCACTTGGGTGCCAGTTCTGGTCAAGATGCATAGTCATAAGGCAATGAGGGAGGTCCCAGAAATTCACATAAATACGATCCCAGAGAGCTGCTCACAGCACGCTCCACTGCTGTGGGGAGGCAGTGTCCCCTCCAGAGTCAGCAACTGTTGACTAGTGAATAAGGGTTGGACACACAGCTGCCCTTGGGCACACAGGAAGGGCCTCCTGCTGCCAGAAACTGCTCAGACCTGACACCAGAGCAGCTCAAAAGTCAAGATCAGGACAGGAAGGGAAGATGAAGAATATTGTAGACTGAAGGAAGTACTGGAGGAGTCTCACTCTCACAAGGACACAACCTGCTTACATGGGGACCTGTTTGTGTTGTGCCTCAATTTCTCTGTATGTTTGGGGCTGGTCACCTCAGAAAACAAAGTAAGCAAACAGATCCTTGGAGAGTGAATCTTTGCAGCAAGGCTGTAATATGGAAATGTTAGTATTTTTTGTCATGAAAAGTTAATTTTTTTGTTTGTTTTTTTTTGTCTTTTTGAGACAGGGTCTCCCTGTAGCCCCAGCTGTCCTGGAACTCACTATGTAGACCAGGCTGGCCTTGAACTCACAGAAATCCACCTGCCTCTGCCTCCTGAGTGCTGGGATTAAAGGTGTGCGCCACCAAGCCCGGCCGAAAAGTTAATATTTTATAATAATTCTAAAAGAATAAAGATCTCATCAAAGAGCAAGAAATGGAAGACAGGTAAGTGAACAAGGACAAATTGTCTGTATAGTTCATTCAAGCCAAAAGCAGTTACCTCACTCTTGTGCCTAAGTTTCAAAGAATGTTTCTGAAAAACAGCAGTGATCATCAGTGGAAGAAAGAACAGCATGTGACACAGCAGGAATGTTGGAGGTGGACACCAGTAGAGCAGTGTCTACTGACCGCACAGGCTCTGATATTCACATTGAACTACAAAAAATTTGCACACATCTGGCTCTACCTCTAAACGAAGCAAGCCAGGGCCCCAAAGGAAAGACAGGCAGACAGAGAGGGAGATGGCTAGAAGCTGCCCCAGAGTGAGAACTGAGGATCATGCTGCCATATATTCACCATTGCACCTCTGGCATATGATCTTCATCACTTCAAAATGAACTTGGAGACATTTGAGATATTCTGAAAGGGGACAGTGGTTCCTCCCCAGGTTCTCTTGAGGAAAGGACTCAAAGTTGTGGTTGCTTCTCCTAGAAAATGATCATCAACAGAGCTGGGAGAGTAGCTGAATTGAATGTTCATAGGGACCATGGTAGGAGGCAGAGGATGCAGTGGGTAGGGCCAGGTCAGTGCCAGGGTAGCAGCAGCAGATCAGCAAGAGGTGTCCCACCCCAGATGAGCCAGCCAAGGCCAGCCAGTAAAGCTGCCAGGTGTGTCCTGGGGACATTATTCCCAAATATATTAGATGAAAGTTCCACTTACCGCTCCAAGCATGATCCTGAAGATCAGCCAGCGGAAGCCCCACAGGACGATCTGGGATGTGGGGGTGTGTTCAGGGAGGTGGGACAGTGTCCAGAGAGGGCATAGAAAGATTCCCAGGAATCCTGTTTCCAGCAGCTGTGACTCCCATCCTGCAGAGGGGACAGGAAAAGACACAGAGTAAGGTCAATGGGAGCAAATGTTTACAAAGAAATCACCCCCAAGCTCAGCCTGACCAGCAGTCCTTAAAATGAAACTGAGACATGAGACACACAAATGTCACCACATGTCTTCCTGACAAACAAGATGTAGAGCTCTGAGTGGGGGACGTGTGGCCTGGGCTTAGGGCATCCTGCAAGCTCAGGTGTTCCACTTCTGTGGACAGGAGGGCCCTGTGCTACCCAGTTCAAATGCCACTAGTCATCCTGTGTGGGATACAGCACAAACACTGCCTGAGCCCCACACTTGGTCATGCACTGCCAGTGGGCATTTGTGGGAAGGCTTTCATTTATAGTTTATGTGAAAAATTTCAGCTTTAAACATCTTTTTTCAAGGCTTGCCAGTATGGATGCAGGTACCAGACATGACAACCTCTCTGGAAGAGCAGACTCTACTCAGGCCCAGGTTAAGGGAATCAGACAACACTGGGAACAGGCCCCAAGAGAGCAGGCTGCCCTGTGTTAGTGCAGGACATCAGCTATTCTTCTGGTGGGGACCTGGCATGGGAAATGCCATGAGAACAGCCTGCAGGTGAACCCTGCATTCCCAAAGATACACAGTTCTGCAGCAGAGAAGGTCTCACCATCCAAGGCATGATGACCCCAAGGTGCCAGGGATGTTCCTCCCTGCCAGGCTGGCTGGCAGAGCCACGTTGTCCCCATGTGCTGATAATCAGTGCTCAGTGACAGCAATATCTAGGCACATGTGTACTCACAGGGGATGAAGAGTCAGGAGGGACTGCAAGAGGAAGTTCTTGAAGACAGGGAGTGCCTTTTCTATACAAGTTATTTTAGAATTAAAAGCTTGTAACATAGCAGCTAACTAGCATTAAGTTATAACATACAGTATGAGATAGGTACCATGGGTTCACAATGACAGAACTGAAGATTAAACAGATAAACAGGACCAGACACAAATTCTTCAGCAGAAATGTGATGATTTAAATGTCACCTGGAGTCCTGGACCAGCAAAAAAAAAAAAAAGATTAGGGAAAACTGAGGAAGTATGAATGAGGTGTGGGCATCAGTTAATGAGAAGCACGGTAAAGGTGCCGTAAGAATGTGGGACTCTAGCCACACAGGAGCAGGTATGTTTTTACAACAGTCCTGTAGATTTGAACAGCTTGGAAAGAGAAAATCTATTTCTGACAACCAGGATCCTGCAGCTGTGCCCTCCATGCACTCCTCATACACCAGCCTCAAAGACTGCACCCCCAGCTAGGGCTTTGCTTGACTAGGTTCCCTCCCATCCCCCAGTGAGTCTGCCAGCTCCTCTCTGCCCTGTACTTGGTCTTCATTGGTCTGCTTCAATGGCTGCCTCCCTGGACGTTGTCTACCTGATGAGGAGGCCTCTGTCAGCAAAGGGACCAGCCACGAGCTGGTTCTGATAGGCACTGCCTACAGCCCTGACTATACATGAGGAAGGGCCTGTCTGCTCTGGGAGCTACAGTGGGATGAATAAGCAGTCATGATCAGTAGGTGCCAGAGCTGGGCTGTGGCCACAACAGTTGGAACTCCTTGGGGCTGGAGGGCCAAAGGCAGGTGGGGCTTGGCCTCCTCAAGCCAAGCCGTACTGCTCTTGGCACTTGCCCAGGGCTGAGCACTTTTGAGTTATCACCAAAGGACTGAGGGAGAGTTGCAATCCCAAGAAAAGCAACACCTCCATTTAGTGACAACACTGCCGCTTCCAGAATCTGGGATGGCTTCTGGGTATGTGTGGCCTGGCTGCTTCTGCTGCCATCCAATGCCTCTGGAGGAACCAGTGCTTCTCTATGCATCACATGGTTGAATTCGGTCCTGCTAGAACTCAGAATGTGCTGAGCAACCTTCTGCCTCCTATCTACACAACAATTCCTCTAGTTTTATTGTGGGATAATTTGCATTAGACATGGGTATACCTGAGGTTGTATCTGTGGATCAGGGAAGTGTCTGATAAACATGGCAAGAGCATCTAGCAGCACCCATTTTGATGAAGAATCTTAAAGATCACATGCTCTAATCCCCTCCTCTACTGGGCAGGTAAAAGAACTCAAGAAACAACATAATGGAGTAAGTCCACCCATCCCCTCAAGGAAGCAGGACACAACTCTGCCCCACACCCACCAAACTGCCACCCCCCCCCCGCTATCCCTGAGGCAGGGTAGAGCTGGCACCATGACAAATGCCACACACAGCCTCACAGCTTTTAGGGGACACATTCCCCAGAGCTTAGAGCCTGCCTAATTGCCACCTCACTCTACAGACATAGGAATGGAATTTTAACATTCAATTCAGTGAGTGACACCAATCAAAGTGACTGATACACAATGGCAGAACCCAGAAACATACTGAGTGCAGAGAGAGGCACAGTGACAGGGCTGGGGGGTGGGGTGCATGACAGGGCAGAGTGGGGTGACAAGAGACAAGCTGCCTAAGCCAGGAAGAAGAGTGTGTATAAGGTTGCTCACCCCTCCTGCAGCCTTTGGAGGGGACAGGACATTCTTGTCCTACTTGGATAGACATTGCTGAGCCAAGGTCTGGGGGTCTCTTCCAGTTGGACTTGCTACCTTTGCCTGCAGTTCATGGAACGACTGCAGCTCACTGGGATCTTTTTGACAGAAGCTGAGGCTGCCCTGGTAGCAGTGGCCCAGGACACCTGGGAAGGGAAGGGCTGCTGCAATCCCACCTGCTTGTCTTCTTTGCTTGGATCTGTGGTGTCTCAGCAGCTGCAGCATGAGCACAAGGAAGGCCATTGTTCTCTGCTTCAGCATGTGGGGGATGCAACCCAAGAAAAAGCAAATAACCACCCTGCTGCCAGGGGCCAAGTGATCCAATGCAGGCAGGCGGGTAGTTATCTGCTCTTGCCCAATGTACCAGGTCCTTATGCAGTGGACAGAGGAGATGGCACCTTCTGCAGGAGATGGGAGGCTGCGTTCATCAACAAATGCAGTCTTGTGCAACTGCATTCTGAACAGTCCCCTCCCCCACCTATGTCTATGATCCAGGGCCTCTCTGCAGGGTCAGCTAGATAGGGTCTTGCCTGCTGCTCAGGTCTCTGGGGTCAGTGTTGTTCTTGCCCCGTTCACTCTGTGGGTGATAGGGACACAGTCCTGCCAGAGGCACATATCGGGCATCTGTCAGCAGAGGCCCATGAGAGGCCCTGAGTGACAGCACTGTGTGGACTGCTTTCATGCCCAGTTTGTTCTGGAAGTTTCACTTTAGTGTCTGCCACTTTCATTTTCAGTTGTACCCAAGAAGCTGCATAAGAGGAACAGAGGCACCATGTAGCCTCTCCAAACAGCTTTTAGAAACTCTCCATTCAGAGCCATTTCTGGGGCTATGTGCAGTAGGCCTGGGCAGCTCTAGCAGTTATCCTCACTGGATACCACAGATGAGGTCAGGTGTACTGAGGGTACGCATGCACAACTATTCCTGGAAAGAAGCAAATGTCTCATGTTTAAGAGATTGTATTGGTAGAGCGCTTATTGGGAATATGTATGAAACCCTGGGTTCAATCCCTAGCACCACACAGACTGGGCACTGCATGGTAGATGCTTGTAATTCTAGCATTCAGGAGGTGGGGGAAGGAGGAGATCAGAGGTTCAAGGGCAACCTCAGCTACATAGTGTGCTTAAGCCAGCTTGGGTAACTTAGTGAGTCCCTAGAGAGAAAGGTATGGTGAAGGGGAAAGAAACCACAGCTATTTCAGTATGAATTTTCCCAGTACCCTATGGAAACAGGGATGTGGAATAGTGGGAAGGAAGGATGGGATGTCATCCAGGGGTAGTGATAGGCTAGGTAGCTGTAATCAACCCAATCTGGCCACATCTCTGTGATGTGTTTGAGGAAGGACTGTGGGCACACCAGTCTCTTTCCTACTTGTTCACAGTGACCACTGTGGCTTCCCAAGATCAAAATCAACTGTATGTACAGCTTTCCCTCCTTCCTTCTGGTATGGGTTAGGAAGAGCATGCTGTTGTGAATTCACAGAAAAGAGGTGGTTTCCTCTGAACCAAATCTCTAAAAGGCAACGCTTAATATCATGAGAAAATGGAAGCAGAGACCATGTGATTTTTCAACCCAATGGCATCAGACCTAGGTGCTCCATCTGGGCACTTCTCTCATGATGGCCAGAAGGGTCAGGTGTCTATGGAGGCTGAACACAACCAGGAGGAGTCAGATGCAAAGCAGAGCCAGGTGACTCCAGACCCCAGAGACTACAGGCGGGTGGAGAAGCAGATCAGAGGGACCCATTGGGCTCTACTCCTTGGCTGGGCTTTACATTGCCCGCTGTCAGATAAAACCAACCAATGGTGCTTGCTCCTTTGTTCACTGGCATTGAGGAAAGATGCCAGGCATACACCTAGTGGCCTGATCTGTGCCTTGGTTAGGCAAATGCTGGAAAAAAAGGGATATAAGGAACCAGCAAGGGGAGGTAGACAGCTGCCCTGCAAAGAGAGGCTATCAGGGGTGGGGTGGGGGTGGGGGGTGGTGTGTGTGTGTGTGTGTGTGTGTGTGTGTGTGTATGTGTGTGTTTTGAGGGGGAGGTGTCCTTAGCAAACAAAGGCCTAGAACCTGAGCTGGAGTTTGACACTAAAAGCAACCAGGATGAAAGACAGTTTAAGGTGAGAGATGAGAGGGGCAGAATCCAAAGAACATCAACTTGATGAGAAGATACAGTGAGTGAAGGGTGGTGGGCATCATCTGGCAGGATGCAAGACTGGAGGCCAGCCAAGGGCAGAGTAGAGTCAAGTCAAGCTGAGGGCTTGTCTAACAGTCTGGGAGGGGACCTGAGAGGACTGGTAGGATGGGAATGGAAGAGTCTTGGGGCAGGGAACACATGGAAGCTTCCAAAAAGCCCTATTGTTAGGTATGTTATCTCATCAGGCAGGGAAGCTCAGTCCGAGGGCTGTCATTTGCCCAGGATCACCATGAGAGGACAGATCATGCTGTGG